GACGTACGAAAATCCTAGAAACCGGCCGACACGCGAACCAAGCCAGTCCGTGCCGTTCGAGCTCCCGCTCTTCCCGAAAGCGGGTTAATACACTCGGCGCACGAAACAACCCGGCCGAAATAATTGGGAGAAAGACCCATTAGCGATTTGGTTCATCGCAATGCGCCGAATATAGCCGGGCGATGCAACTCGGGCTTGCTAATTCAGGTACCGCGTATCCGCTAATTCGCCAACATATCCCGGCCGTTGTCGGATTCCGCCGCTCATACTTGAAAGAATTTTATTTAACAGTATTAATTATTTCTTAATTTAATAAATTAATTAAACTTAATTTTATTTAATAGTATTTAATATTTTTAATTTAATAAATTAATTAAATTTAATTTTATTTAATAGTATTTAATATTTTTTAATTTAATAAATTAATTAAATTTTATTTTATTTAATAATATTTAATATTTCTTACTTTAATAAATTAATTAAATTTAATTTTATTTAACAATATTTAATATTTGATAATAATTAATTTATTTGGAATATTATTTTTAAGAATTATATTTTTGTGTCAATTAGATATAAAATTAATTGCTGCTATTTCTTCAATTGTTCATATAGGGATTGTATTATATAAGAATAATATTAATAACAAAATGAAGACAATATGGGAGATATTTTATAATAATTGGACATGGATTTATTTCTTCTCGATTATTTTATTTAATTGAATTTTTAATCAAACTAAAGACGGCTAATTTTCGACGACTAATATTCTACGTTGCAACCGTGATCGAGGATGACGGAGAAAAAGAGTGTTCTTCCCTTCTTAGCATACGTATGGCAAATCGAAGGGAAGGGGAAAGAAGCGTGGATTTATCTTCTGGACTCAGTCACGTGATCGGGAAGAGAAGCCTTATATAAGGGCCAAGTGAATCTGTACCTAGCAAGTCACGAAGACGCGACCACCTTCATCGTGGATTCCCAAAACTAAGCTCTCTACCTTCAACATTTTATGAATTTTTACGTATATTTACATCTTTAAATTCCTTCAAATGGATGCACAAACGTCTCGTCGCGGTAACGAAATTTTGCAGAAAATTGCCAGACTCGAACGACAGTCTCGCGAACGAACGGAACAAGGCCCAGAGAAACGGCCGTTCGTCTGAGAATGACACGGCCAAATGGAAGAAAAGAAAGTGGGGCAATTGGAGTAGTACGAGGGATGGCGGCGGCGTTTACCTGTTGCTTCTCTCTGAAACGCGCCGGCCTGCAGCAGCCGGGGTGATTGCAGCAAAAGCGCGCAAAGCAAAAGCGCTTTGGTAAAAATGCAAAAATAATAGCCAGACGGGTCTGGAATAGCGTTCGATCGTAAAAAGACGGGACACAGTCGGCCGGGTCGGTCGACAAAAGCGAGACAAAAGGACGAGTCAGAGGAACCGTGATATCCTGGCGCCAGTCGTGGCTCCGAGTTCTCCTCTCTTCTGGGCGAACAAAACGAATATCTGGCAGGAGGGAGGGGAGGGCGAAGAGAAAGAGAAAGAGAAAGAGAGAGAGAGAGAGAGAGAGAGAGAGAGAGAGAGAGAGAGAGAGAGTCGATGAAACGGTTGCCCATGGCCGATGCAGCGGATATACACACTCGTGTGGGCGGGAATATGGGCCAACCGATCCGGCGAATTCACGAAGAGGACGCGTCAATTCAGCAAACCGCGTCGAATCGCGGACGACGTTAGAATATTTGGCCTCGAACGAAGACTCCTTTCTGATCAATGCCGAGTCAGAGCTAGTCTATCTCTGCTCTCTCTAACGAGCATTTTTCGTGGGCTGGACTCGGATTCCACGTAAAGGAATAACACTTGTACGTTGGAGAGGATTTATTCAACGTAATTGTGGTCAAGGATGTCTTGAGATCTTCCTGATGGAAAAAAACTGTTCTTTTTTTCTTAGAGCGGCTTTTTATAATTTGTCAATTGAAGCGTGAATGACCAACTACTGGAATAACTATGAGTAACTGTTCGTAGAGAACAGTTTCGGAGGTCACTGACTCACAATCAGTGTTAGCACTGAGCTAATATTATCAGGCCTAGTCATCCAACACTGGATAGAGGAAACTCTGCGGAATTTTGCTAAAACGGGAAAGTTCTCCAAACTGTGAAAGTACAGTCTAGAACTTGAATCCTATCCTCGCGATCGATTCGTCACAAAGCGCATCGCAGATTTCCAAGGAATGCGCAAAGTATGACGTAAGAAATAGAGAAGAGCCGCGACAACAGTGATTAATTGGAATAGCGGAGTGGCAATTAGATTCGTTACCAAGACTCGCGCATACTGCGTCGCGCGATAACAATCTAATTGATATTTACAGCTGACTCGGTGCCATTCAGGTATTTTTAGGCTGACGTCAAATCAGTGTAAAGTACGCTCGAGGAAGGCGATGGCAACGACCTCGCAAGGATGTGGGGTATCAAGCGGGACGAGAAAATCGAAGGACTCGATAGGGAGGAATCAACGTTCGTAAATATACCGCGCGTAATTCAGCTGTCGATCGGTTATTAAGAGACGTCGGTTGCAAGTTACGCTGTTATCTTCCCTGTAAGACAAGAAAATTTCACGCTGCTAATGCATGAATCACGAGATGTTAGATTAATTTAATTTAAAAGACAGGACAAGCCTGAATGTTGTTGAACGCATCCAACTAGACGGATTTATCGATAATTAAAGCGTAATCGAGCATCGATCATATATATATATATATATAGAGGCGGGAAGCGACAGACATTCGTTCATGCGAATCTTCCAAGTTGATGAACGCGATCCTTCGGAACCTGTTTCCCGTGAGAAACGTGTCTCGGTTTCGAAAAGTCGCTCGACAGTATCTCTACGCGACGATCGAGAGAGAACTTTTTCGAACGGCGTTGCTAATTAATTCGCGACTGCTTTTTTCTCTCCTATCCGTCTTGACCGCGTCGACGAAGAAACCAGGTCGAACATCCGCCGATCGACGTCCTCTTTCTTCCCCCCTTGACACACACCGCAGGAAACGTCAGCTCGCGTGATCCGTAGCCAGCTCGGATAAAACCATCCCTGACATCTGGAATTGAAATGCTCGTCCTTCCTCTTTCGACGCTGCGATTATCGAAGTTTTCTTCCCTCGGTTCGCTTCCGGGCGAATCGAATTGCTCCGAAATGGAAAAGTCACGAACGACGTTTCCCGTTTATCGTTGCGCGAGCTAGATTTCACGAAATTGGTGGATTTTCCCGATGCTTTTTTGAAAATATGAACTTGCGACGAGGAGAATATTGCTTCACAGATCATCACGGTCGTTCCGAAGGGTTTTAAGAAGAAATCACGATGAATGTCGAACAGATCGCAAATTTTATCACGATCGTGTCGTCGGCGCACGACAACGCGAGATTAAGGAGAACCGTTCGCGAAATATCCGCTACAAGCAGCCACCCGTCGGTTCCCCGACGATTTACCGCTCTTTATAGTTAGTCGACGAGGCGGGCCTTTATTGAGATGTCATCGGTTAACACAAAACGAGAGTAATGCGATTGGGCGAAGCTCGGTGGTCCTGGACCGGCAAAAAGTTGCCCCGTCTCCCTTACTTCGTGCAACTGTTATAAATAAGCCGCCCCCCTCCCTTCCCTCTCCTCGTTTATAGGCTGTGCTCGATAGCGAAACGCGGCTACAGGTATGTAAACGTCGCGGCTACCACGAAAGGGACGGCATGGTACTTTTGAATTAATTATTTGATGGTACCCCCTATGAATAATTCAACGCTAAACCCGTGGACCCGGCGTGCCTGTATGAGGAAAGGGCGCGAGGGTAGTGGAAAATGGGATTGCCTTTTGATTTATCGCGGGCCAGCGAAAGAGAGTGAAAAATCTTGGAAATTTCTCCGCTGGATTCATTCGTCTAGCTCGGAATCGAACCCGTGGGAAAGTGAAAATTTCAACGTCCCAGGGATGTTTGAATTGATGTTGCAGATAGACGCTACTCTAATTCGATCTCTTGCAAGCTGAATCGATCGGTACTACCTTTTAAAGTCTAAGCAAACGCAAATCATTACAAAACACACGAAACCTGCAATAATAGTCGATACTCGTTCAAAATGTCAAGTTTTACGTCGAAACAGTAGTAAAAGTCGGACGACCGACGATTATTTAGGCATTTAGGGACCGGTGTGACAACAGTTAACGTGTTAATATTATCGCGCAAATAGACCCTTTGCTAGGCACTCGAATGAAGAATAGAGTAGAATGGAAAGTTAGAAGCGCAATAAAGTTACGTTCTGTTAATCGATCGATCAAACGAAACGTGGTTTCGTAGAGCAAATCGCGCTTTCCGATTGTGAGTATCAGGGGTGCAAGACGAAAGCAAAACGTCAGGTAGGGTAATCGATCTCATACACGAGTCAGTTCCTGCGACGAACCGAGCGTGTCCGTAGCACATTAATTACTATTGCGACAGCCAGGGTTAAAGATCTATCTTTTACTAAGCATGAAGCTGAAACGAGCTCGCCACGCCTTCGTATCATTACTCACACGATGGCAACCTTCTGATCTGTACTTTTTCCTAAACGCACTCGACCTTTTCCAGTTTACGTGTCAGCAGAACACAGAGAGCAATTAGCCAATCTAAAATTCTACTTTACTATAAATTTTCTTAGTGTTGAAGTAAAAAGTTCAGACTCGTTAAGACTGTCGAAAGAAATTATGGCTTCTTCGAATAAATAAATATTCATAATTTTGTATTTTTACAGTATCGAAACTCGAATCGATCGCATTCAAGAATCAAAATCGGAGAAGTTTCATTTGTCCAAAAAACCAACATCTCTCATTTTAACAACTACGAGGATACAATTACTCGCGAGTCGCAAAAGTCACGGGAAAGCAGCGCGGATGAATTCGACTTGAATCGATTTCGAGAAACGGAGTTCCATGCCCTGGCGGGCTGTTCGCGAATTTCATTTAATTCACGTTGTCGCAAACACACGTTTCAGGTTACTTCGGCAAATACCTGAACAAGTACAACGGCTCGTACATACCGCCAGGCTGGCGAGAATGGGGCGGTCTCATAATGAATTCACGGTACTACAACTACAGCGTGAACATGAATGGGAAGAAGATAAAGCACGGCTTCGAGTACAGCAAGGACTATTATCCGGACCTGATAGCGAACGACAGCGTGGCTTTTCTACGCCAGAGTAAACACAATTTCGCCCGGAAGCCGGTGATGCTGGTCGCGAGTTTCCCGGCGCCGCACGGCCCGGAGGATTCAGCGCCGCAGTTCTCGCACCTCTTCTTCAACGTCACCACTCACCAGTAAGTACCGTGGAACTTCTGTCATTTCTATTTGCCTTCGTTACCGTCCCGGACCCGGTTGATATATCTGGGTCAGTTCGTTAGCCTCCCCCAGGATCAGAAATTTATTTGCCAATTACCAAAGATTTCGTTTCGAACCTCCGGTTCCAATCAACGCGACGGTATTCGCGAAAATTATTCGAATATTTACGGTGGAAAACTTTGATGTTCCCTATGAAAAAACAAATTTACGGTATAACGAATGCGCTGCGGATTTTTACGAAAGGATGAAACAATCGTTCCATTTGCCAAATATTACGAGAGCTATATTTTCTAGATCTATTTGTTTTTTTTTTTTTTTTCTTTTTTAATGAAAGTCGTACTTTGTAACATCTCGATATGTTGGAGTTGCGAATCGGAGCTTTAGAATCGTGAAATTCTTTGTTTTTTTGAAATTGAGAGCTACGTAAGTCACAGGTCACTGACTATGGATTATTTTGCACGTACATTCTCTTTACGGCTGTTTTCCACGGCAGGAATTGTCAGAGATCGCGATTTACCTTCTTTCCTCGAGATATCGCCCCAAGATTCTATCGCGTTAAGCTCGCAGAGATATACGATAACGATAATCCTTTCGACGCGTTAAATCGCCTGGAGAAACGTGTAGGTGGCGATTTACTATTTTCTATATGGAGATCTCAACATCGGATTACAGGATGACAAGCTGTACTATTAAGCACGGCTAGTGCGCACTTCTATCGACAATGATATTCGAGATCACGTGAGATTGTAATACTGAAACTTTATTAACGAGCGAGATAAATTTGTAACTAAAGGACTTTAAAACTGGTGCTCGTTTGTCGTGAATTTACGACTCGAAGTTTTGATTCTGTGTTACCGTACGATTGATTTTCTCGAACCGGAACGTAATATCAAGAAAGGTCTAATTTCACAACTGTTTGACACTTTCTCTTCCTAATTGTAAGTTACGAAGTCAAAGAGACCTTTTCAAATACTCGTGGTTTCTCTTCTTACAAAAAAAATCTATCATTCCTTTTAGGCTGACAAACATTCACAAGAGAAACACATTAACTTGAAAAAGAGCTTCACTTTTAAATTCGTCTTTCATCTTATGTTCTTCCTCGAGTATCGTGTTACACACACGTACGGACAGAATACACTTTACGGTACACAAATGGAGCAACGTTCATTATCACCAATGGCGTGAAAAAAACGAGTGCAGGCTTCGTTCTACATCGTGTCAACTACAACTTCCAATTCCTTCCGACGTGACGCGTTTCATTTTCATTCACGATGACGAACGGGTAACACGCGAGCGTACCATAGACGTCGACGCCACCATACACGCGCTTCCTGACAATGGGAGCTGTTTCCACGAAGAGCTCGTGCACGTGTGAGAGAGAAAGAGAGAAAGCGAGAGCCAACGTATTCGACGTCCGGCGTCGAAGTTTTCTCAAGCTGTTGACCATTCAGAGCTGTCGTCCTCCAACAGAAGGAGGATTCACGCGTGAAACGGGGCGATATTCGTAGCTGGTTCGTTCTGACGCGCGACATGAGAATGAGAAGTGGACGAAAACAAGGGACAACGGCGTTGAATTTGCAAATAGTGGACGATTGCAAACAGTGTGAAGACAGAAGAGAGAAAGAAAGGGAAAGAGAGAGAGAGAGAGAGAGAGAGAGAAAGACAGGAACCAAAGGCGAAAAAACGAGAGACACGGAGGCACTCTAGACTAGACAACCGGATAGATAACTGCAGCCACCGTGTCATCGTCGCGTGATGGAGTGCCCTAGACGGGGTGTGCAGTGTGTGCGCGCGATGAAAAGCACTAAAAACGTGCACCCCTCTTGGTAGTCTCGTCTCCCGCCCCTCTGGACAACGCCCCGTTATTGTACCTCCGCGATGCAGGTATTATATTCACCTGTCTCTGTTCCACCACGGAGAAAGAGAGAACGAGAGAAAAACAGACATATATAACGTTCGTCTCTGTCCTCCAGTCCCTCCTTCTTTTCATTCTCCTTCTTTCGTTTGGTCTCTCCTCTCCTTGTGTGTTGGCCGAACGCGCGAGCGTACCTGAGCGTACGAGAGCGAAAGAGAGAGAGAGAGAGAGAGAGAGAGAGAGAGAGAGAGAGAGAGAAACGCGTGACGTTTTCGCGAGGGATCTTTTGTGAACGGGGGACTACAGATTGCCTCATTGTACGGGAGTATTTTTGTTGGATCCGTGGTTCCCGTCGGGATCGATTCTAAAAAGGGATCTTCATTTTATTTCGTTCGACTTCACCGCCACGGGATATCCTTCGGTAAAACACGCAGACGGATATCGTCGTGCCTTTCTCTTCCACCGATTGTCTCCCCCGATATGTGCAAGAGTGTTCTCCCGGGAATTCGATCGAAGCTGTTACGACGAAAATACAGAAAAATGTCGTACTCGCCATCTATAGCGCGTATGTACGTACACGGGTTTCCTCTTGGTTACGCACGCGATGCGGTCGCCTCGTACGCTTAGACACGCGTCTCGTCTCTCTGCTACCCTTCGGGGAGGGGAAAAAGAGCAACGATACGACGGAGCGATTCGTTGTCGGGTTTCCAGGCACAATGCGCGCCGGATCGGAACGGGCGATTCTACTTCGGGCCGGAGCCACGCGCAATTTCGATACGAAACGATCGACTCGTCGTCTCGTTACACGTATGTACGTACGTACACACGTACCGTGCTCGAGCAATTAAAACATCGAAAAGGACAAACGTTTCGAACGGTTGGCTGGTCGGGACGCGAACGAACGTCCTGGCTGCTCGCATTGCACGCGAACAATTTACATGGATTGAAATTAAGCCTCGTAGATTTGCGTAACGCGGCACAGAGTTCTGCTTTATTCTAGTCTTTCGCGACAACCGTGGAATTCTAACCGTTCTACGGAACGGAAAATTGCCAATCCCGGTTTGGTTTCTTTTCCATGCCGTCGGAGGATCGACGAGTCGAGACGACTGGTCGTTGCTGAACGTGACGCAGTAAATAATAATTAAGCGCGATACAGCCGGGCACTGAAACGATTTAGAGAAGTTACGAGGGCGAAGCTGCTTGTTTAATTCCATAACCGATGGATTTTAATTCCACGCTCGTACATCACACGCCATTCTCTCGTCGCGTCGTTCAAAAGCCGATCGAGAGAAACGAGAACGAAACGAAGAGCGAGCGGTGGCGCAGCACGCGCAATTACGTGCTTTCACGACGCTTTTAACTCGATGCCCTTAAGCAGCCATTGGCCGAGTCGTTTCGCTCTCTGGCGAATTATATATTTCTTTTTCTCTCTCTCTCTCTCTCTCTCTCTTTTTATCTCGATCGAGGATGATTCGAGCGACAAGCAACGCGAAATCGGCTTTACGATTCGAGCAATTTTCCGATCGAGTATGAGTTTTTTTCTTTTTCTACGCCTCGAGCGACACTCCGCGCCGCTTGGCTCAAATTGTACATTTAATCCGACTCTTCTTCTTTATTTTTCATTTTGTGATAGATGTTGGAGACAGAGCAACCTATTTTTGCATAATGCGACTGTAAATTTTTTATCGAGTCTCTTTCGAATCGTCGTCAAGTACGAGAGGTTATATTCAACGTGACCAACGCGTAATTCTTCGCAGAAACTTGTAAATATTTTACAAGAAGGCATTTTTTATATTTAAATTATCCCATCGTCGTCTTCTTTGTATCTTCCCTACTATATATATATATATATATATATATATCTTCGTCGCATCTCCGTTTCCGTTCGTTCGTTTTATATTTTTAATTTGATCATCTTGGGTTGATTAAATTCCACTCGTACTATCGACTATCGGGATACTGTCAACAATGCCAACTGTTAGCTGAGTAGATACGAATGACCGTGGCGATTCGATCGTAAAGTGCGTTTCGCGATTTACATTTAACTTACGCGTGGCATTCTTCTCTATTTTATGCAACGTCTGACAAGTGGGACACCAGCGCGTATCGACCGAGGCGCGATTGAAATCGAGAGCGGTGCAGGGTGGCTTCCATCGGGAAACGGGAGAAAAAGAGGGAAATGCAATTTACTCGACGAGGAAACGAGCGTTTCCCATCGCGCGTCGTCAAACAAAGTCCAAAAGGAAATCTTAGCCAAGGTCCCCTCGAGGGCTTGATTAAATCAAGGAAGAGTATCGGTATTGAAACTTAATGAACGCCATTGGAGCTGCATTGGGATTATTCAGAGAAAAGAAAGAAACCTATCGAGTGTTTCTTGTCGTCGGTGCTTAAGCACTTACCTCGGATAAATATTATAAGAACGAGCCAGTCCATTAACAAAGAAAACGTCAACGACCCGAGGAAGAAAGCTGGTTTAATCGGAACGTCTACCCATTCGGAGGCGAATCAATCTTTCGAGGCTCTCCTCGTGCCAACGAGGTCAAGATAAACGAAACACGCCGCGTGACGTGTGCATTTTTCGAGGGGCCTAGCCTAACTGGATGCAATCTAAATCCAGAGCTAACAAGAGCAAAGCATCCTGGTCGACGTCGAAACGTTTCATGGAAAAGAGAGACGCGTTAATCTCAATGAGATTTCGATACTTTACTTGAAGACCAATCGATGACCAACGAAAAGTAAACTCAAACAGAATGTTATATTATCAGCTGCAATTATAATTCAACAGTGCGTATATGTATTACTTTCTTCCGGAAAGTTTATTTTGTCACTTATTTCATTTTACGTAATACCTTATTGCTCGCTTAGTACTAGTCACAGTTATTCTAACCACTTTCTAAACAAAATTGCACGACACTTTCTCGTTCCTTCATTAATATATGAAAAAAATGTAATAGTATTATAGAGATTGAATATAAGGTAATATTTATTTAATAATAATGCTGATGATTAAACAAGGTAATGAGTACAAATTAATAACTAACATATTCGGTCACCACTCGAATAAACTTTCTTTCTTTTTTACAACTCAATTTTCATTTCACAATTAAATCAATGCTGTTTCTGACTCGCAATCTACTACATTCATACTTTTCCTCTTTCACGCTACAGACCATCTAGTATAACTAAACGAACTACAGCTACAATAATGACTTGAACCTACGATACTACAGTATATAACAAATTTAACCTCTTGCGCTGGAATGACGTGCCACGCACGTCGAGAACTTTTTGTTCCAAAATTGTAATACTGTCTCAGCTTTAAGTATATTAAAGTAAAACAAAGTAGGCAAACCAAATAATAAATTTATTACTTCTAAATAATTTCTATCCAGTGATATCGTACCGACGAGTTCAAGAGAAAAAGAAAGCGGACGAATTATTGTATACGTATTTGGTCACTCGTTATGGTCCGCAATCGGTCGCCAGCGCAAGTGGTTAATTACTCCGTACAAAGTTCAAGATTTTAAGATGCTGCAAGTCGAAGAACCCTAGCCTAGACTTCCAATGGGGCAAACTAGAGGATCAACTGGTGCGTCTGTTAGTTTCCACGTGGTTCATGACGTTCACCGCCGATTAACGTGGCCAATTTATTCCGATCTGACCGCGGCGTCCGTGTTAATGGCCCCCATGCCATTTTAGGGATCGTGCGGTACACGCGCGGACACGCGACCCGAGGAGCAGCGTTATCGCGCGTTTACGGGACCCGGTTTATATTTTGACAGCGTCCTTTCACCGTAGCTAAACCCGTGGGCGCGGGAACGGAGTTTATCAGAGATTTAGCCTGCATTAAGAGCGGTCGTGTCGCGGAACAGCAACTTGGTTCGCCGCGGGCTCTGTTTTAATTCCAGCGGAACGCGCCCCAACCTCCGGTTAATATCACCGCCGATCAGATAATCGAAATTTATCGTCCGAGTAATTAGCCGAAGAAATTTATGCGACGATTAATACCTACGGCCATGGATTAATACCTCGGCCTGCCTTTTCAGGGTGGAAAAATTTCATGCCGTATAAAATCCATCTCGGATTCGTTTCGGGTACTTTTGATCGGGCGATAGAAATTCGTCATGGGTGAAAGCCTCGGTTAATTATCGTTTCACGTGACCCAACGGGCAATAATTTCGTTACTTTCGACTTGTGTAAAGCGTAGATCGCGCGACCGCGAGATCTAATGGTATTGGAATTGATTAACGAGGCGTGGGTAAACACGTGGCGACGCAGCATCGATCGCGAATGGAGAGACACGAAAGAAAGAGATTGCAACGAGCTGCTCGGTCGTGTCCAGGCTCTTTGGCCGAAGGATAAACGAGAAAACGGAAAAATCAAACGGACAGAGATAGATGGGGTCGTTTCGATGGCGTCTTAGATCGGTTAATAGCGTATCAACGTGAAATATGTCAATCGAAACGATGGCTGGCCGAACCGAATGCGGTACGGTTTGTTATTTGTACGAGTCAATTCGTGGCTGGTGCATTCGCAACGTCTCGACAATCGATCCCTTGTGATCCGACGCGTGTGCTTCGTTCTTTCTATCGACAACCGATTTGAAAGAATAAAGGGGAAAGCGAACTCTTCAATGGAGACTATTATCAAACGAGTGCTCGTTTTCCTTTCCTCTCTTTGCCACTTTTTGCTGCTCGACAACCATGGGCGATAAATATCGCCTTAAATATCGATTGCTTCCGATACGCCCTTGTATATCCTTGTCACTTGTCCACTCTGAAAGCGAGTATCTGCCCCCCCCCCTATCCCTCCCCTCTTGTCCTTCCCTACGTTGATCTTCATATCGAAGAAAAGATACTTTATGGCCGATCGTAAATCGTCAGCTGGTAATATCTGAGATATTGGACGTTGATAATTTCGCGATTGAAATCCCGAACAATGAAAGGCCGAGTAAAGATTTGGCTTAATACCCGCGAAGAGTTACGGTTGCCTAGGGGGCGGAAGAAAAGAAGTCTCGATATTGATTCTGCGAGGTTCAAATTCCATTGTGATGTATGCAAACAACGAAACGTTGCGGCTATTCAACGCGGGTTCAGACAGTGAAAGCGACGATCCGCGAAACACCGAGAACTATTGGGTGCCTGTGCGATACCCACTTTCCCCATTATTCATCGCTTTTGAAAGAAACGTTCTCAACCGAAACGGACGTTGCAGCCTCGAAATTAACCAAGTGTTAACCACGAGTGCGTGAAAAACCACGAGAGCGCAAATACGAAACAATTCCGCGCTATGTATGTCGCTACGTAACCCAAGAATTCAGGAGTTCAATTTTCAACTTCAGACCTTCAATTCAGGAGTTCAACGATTTGAAAAACTTTAGAGAATGCCTGGAACGTTAGAGATTTAAAAGGTGAAAAGTTTTAAAAACGAAGATCCAAAGGCTTGTAAGATGTTGGAAATTCAACGATTTGAAAGGATTTCGAGACACGAAAATTTTAGAAATCGAGAACAGACTTTACTTAGTTATCACCTTATAATTTTTCACTCAGTCTCATACGTCATTTCATTTAAAACGTTTAGAATTGTATCACTTTTTGTACTAATGGGTATTTATATGAATAAATAAATAAACAAATGACAATCGTGGTAATCGAATGATTCTGAAAATTCGAAAAATTCGGAGAGAAGCGGCTGGCTTCAAACAAAGTAAAAGCTCGCGAGGAGGAGCCACGGGAGATCGCACGAGGAAGAAATCGATTGTCCCCGGTTAGACTTAGGTTAGACCTACGCGGTCTATAATTACACGGAGGAGAGACGGTTGATTAGCGTTCCAGCGCGTGCAACAACAGCTCGCTCGCTTTTCAACAAGCGGTATGCGCACATGGGAGGAGATGCACGCACGGAGACAAAACGCGCGCGCGGATTTCAGGGATGTGTACACTGCGCGTTCGCGTCGTCTCGGTCGCGCGAGCGTTAAGATGGTGCGGGGGCACGTGGCTGGGTGCAAATATAATCGTCGAGTGTCTCGCGGGGAAGTTAAGTGGCCGTGGCGAGCCGGTGCACGCAGAATAGGCTGCAATTAAGGAGCCCAGACGAAATATATACGCGGACGGTAGACTGTGGACGAAAGAGGATGGAAGGGGTGATGCACTGTAACCAGAGAATGACGGACGACGATATTCTACGTTCGGCAGCGACCGTCGGATTGCCAGTTTTCTTTCGAATTCTCGTATAAAGACTCGGCATTCGCTTGCTTTGCCTCTCTCTCTCCCGCCCACTTGCAGCTACGTTTGTGCAAACGAAATGAAAACACGACGAAATCAACGCGAACGCTCGCCTTCTTTAATTCCTTAAAGTGGACTTTCAATTTTAACTCAATAGTTGGAGCCGATGCACATTGTTCGCAGACAATAGAATTTATTAGCCTAAAATTAAATGGACAAGTGGTTCTGAAACGGGTATATTCCAATTGCCGCTAGATTCATCGAGTTCTCCTTTCCACAAAATCGTACGTTCGCTGAGTGAAAAAAGAATTTTCTCAGCTTGCTCGAACGTTTTCTTAGAATTTCGTTTCGAAGGGGGCGTTTCTAACCGGATTTATCGCTAGCAGCCGTCGGATTTCCCATTGGAGCGTTGATTCAATGAGAACGGTGGTCGCGCGTTGGTACTGCGATGATCGCGTTAGTCGGATGTTCCTCGCGTTCGTTTTTCCGGGGAAATTCAGCAACACGGTCTCGCCGGAAGCGAAACGAGATTCCTCGGGATTCCACGTTACAGGTACGATCGCGCACGCGAAACGCTCGTTCTCATGCCACCGTCGACATGCATTCTCTCTCTCCCTCTCCCTTCGGTGAGGTCTCAATTTCATTTCACGGAAATTAATTCGAAATCAGGGGATGGAGTCGTGGAATTCGATTAAACGTCCTACCTTTTAATAAAATTCTCTCGAACATTCAACGACGCACGATAAGTATATATCAGGTGGACTGGAGACAGCAAAGTTACGACACGTCGAATTTCTCGCTACCCCTCTGAACTATCATAATTCTCTGTGAAATCCCGAACCGGCCCGGGTAAACCTGTTCTCTCGCGCGTTTCGCACGATGCGGCCCGCAAGGTAAGACAAAGATCCACGCAGCGACCACGTTGGAGCCGAGCGTTGGTTCCTGAAGGACGTGGAGGAAGGTGAAGGGCCAATTACCCATAATTTCGTGTCTCGTGTAATTGGTGGAGAGAGAGAGAGATAGAGAGAGAGAGAGAGAGCTAGATGGAAATAGGAAGGGAGAAAGGAGAAGAGAGAGGATACAGTGTTTCGAGGGGTCCATCGCCGTTTCACCTACTCTCGTTGCATCAAACTCTCGAGTCGGGATACTCGAGATTAATTCAATTTCGCCTAGCCAGTTCGGATTCTGCGGACTAACGTGCTCGAATAGTTACAGCAGCCGAGACTCGAGGTCGCTTAATCGGCTAACCGGGGGATTCGTCGAGAGTCTGTGCTCGAAGCCAAACGAGTAGCTCATAGTCCTTTGAGCGGGTCCTCTGCATCCACGATACCAAGAAGAATACTTTTCCGTTTCAGCACGCCGGCTTACGACTACGCTCCGAATCCTGACAAACAGTGGATCCTGCAGGTGACGCAGAAAATGCAGCCGATTCACAAGCAGTTCACGGACCTACTGATGACCAAGAGGCTGCAAACGTTGCAGAGCGTCGACTACGCGGTGGACAGGGTACGGTCTGATTCATAAACGCGTCCCCCCGGACACAATTGAGACCTCTTGTCACGGAACTCCGTCAAGAGAACTCCGCTCATTCATTTATTTCTCAAGCGACCGTTTGTTAACAGATTTACCAAGAACTGAAAGACCTGGGCGAGCTGGACAACACGTACATCATCTACACGTCCGACCACGGCTACCATTTGGGACAGTTTGGCCTGATCAAAGGGAAGAGCTTCCCGTTTGAGTTTGACGTCAGGGTGCCGTTCTTGATCCGAGGTCCTGGAATCGAACCTGGCACCATGTAAGCACACGGTTCGACGATTATTTTGATTCCACGTAGGCCGGGGCCCCGTGTCCGTGAGTTTCACGAACTCGTCGGCCAGCGTATCTTCGTAGGTAGTTATAAGTAGGACAAATAAATGAGCCGTCATGAGCGTCGGTCGAGCGCGCGAAGAGAGGAGGCGTGAAGTTGTAAATCACGCCAGTCGCACGGAGACTGGTGGCTACATTTGGATAAATTGATTCGCCGGTAGAGAAAGATTTACAGTTGCAAACCTCGTGCACTGAATTGTTCGAACGGTTCTGAACTTCGGCCCATTCTAAACTTTTCGTTTGCTACTTGCGCTACTTGCAACCTATCCTCCGAGATCATTGTCTCGCGACAATGTTGCACACGACTGATCGAACATTTACAGTCGGAACGATAATCTCGTAAATTGTCGCGTGATCGCGTTTCACGCTCTTAAACCGGCGCGTTCGTGGTCGTCGAGATTGCGCTTCGCAATAAATAGAACACCGGCAGTGAGTATAAGTGGCCGTTGTCTGGTCGTCTTCTGGAATTACGGCTGCACACAGCAACCTCGAAAACGATCAATTATACGAGCAGCCCGTGCGCGGAGAGGAAAAAGACAGTACGCTAACTGACGAGACAGCCCGCCGTTTTCGCGTTGCCAAACTACCGTGTGAACGCGAACCCACGGCCATTCGCGTATAAATTGAAGTAGAACCGCGTCTGTTATAAACATCGCCACGTTAGATTAATGCCGCGACGTGGCGCGAGCCCGCTTCCGCGTGCAATCCCTTCTGGATTTAATAAACGGCGCCTGGTTTCTGCCACCAGGCGGACGGAGGTTACCGTGGTTCATTCGAAAAACGCAACCGTGTCGCGAGGAAGACTGTTATTTTCTTTTGACTGGAAGTTTACCGTACCGAGGTGGCACGTATTTAATTTCTTCGCGGTACAACGCGAGAGAGATTCGGGAGAATATACGCAGTTACTATAATTTAATAAATGTTTTAAACCTACCCTACGATTCTTGAGTTTTACACGTTTTAGAAACTCGAGAGATTTTCCAAAGAAAACAATTTCTTTTTTTTTTTTATTTTTTCTTGACAAAAGTGTCCGCTTCGATCGAAAAACAAAATCATAAAAATAGAAAAATTCATCGCAAGGTAATTATTTCGTATCTGATGCCAAAAGTGTAAATAATTTTCTGAATTCTTCGACGCTTTATTACGCTGTCAACCCTTTCGCGACGACGGAACTAACTATCAATACACCATTAACGAAAGGATCGTCGTGTCATTAGTGCACACTGTATACATTGAGAGTGTTTCGCGTTTTTGGAGCTCTCAGTGTGTTCGTGTAAAATCTTGGAGGATTTCGTTGGAACAGCAGACTTAAGGACGTATTGGACAAAGGGAATGTTGTTGAGGCCTTGTTCTGTATTTTAAAGTAAATCCAGTAATAAATCTTCACTTTGAGTTGATCTTAGTGGATGTCGGATATAATTGGCGTTAGTCGCGATAGGGTTAAAGAGTCAATGCTGAAATTTGTCTCGATAGAGCGAACATATTATAACATATTGTTGTTGTAGTTTTTTTCTATCAGTTGTTTGCTTGAGCATCGTTACGATACTCCAACTTTTACTACTAGTGGTCTGCGCCAACTTTCAAACGATATTTGTTTGGGACGCAAATACGCCTCGGTAAAAAATGTAGGATACAACGGCACGAAGAGAGGGTGAGTCAATCGGGTTATATAATGTTCCTGAGCTCTAAATACGTTCGAGCTCGATAGGAAAACATCGTAGATCGAACTCAATAGAGGAAAATCGTAGATCCATAATGCGATAAGGGGAGATGAAAAGAACGGAATTTCGCGGGGCAAAATATCAGAATATTCGCAAGCACTTTGCCGAGCCGGTATTTACCCCGGGGAGGTTCAGCTGCGATATTGAATTACAATAAAGCATCTATATGACGTTGCAGAGTAGACGACATAGTTTTGAACATCGACTTGGCGCCGACGTTCCTGGATATAGCCGGCGTCGAGACGCCGCCGCAGATGGACGGTCGTTCTTTCAAGAAACTTTTTCAGAAGTGAGTACACTGCCAATTTTTTCGCTATATATATATATATATATACATCGTGCAGCACCAGCTAAATTCCACCGTTGAAAGAAAATTACCTACCGATTCGGATTCGACCGAAAGACAAAACTGACGGGACGAACTGTCGACGAAGAAAATCCACACCTTTGAGATCTCGTCAGAGGAATCGCGTGTTGCAGCAAACACGGGAGAAGATCGAAGTTCAAGTGGCCGGATACGTTTCTGATCGAATCTTCCGGTCGACGAGAAACTCCGGAATCGATCGCGGAATCAAAGGCACGGGAGGCCAGAAAGCAGAACCAAACGTTGGCCAGACAGCACTGGAACGCCACGCCGGAAGATGAAGAGGACAACGTTGCCGATCCAGACGCGGAACACGAGTCGGAGCATCGGTTTCTGGAGAACGATACAGGCAGCGATCAAGACATCTCCGAGGACGATGATTTCGAGGACTCGATCATCGACGAATCAAGTAAGATATCTCTCTATGGTCGATTGTTATCAAATCGTAATTCGTGCTCTTTATGTAGCCTTTGCCTATTTGGGACGCGGTTTCCCCTGCAGGAAGGCGTAACACTTTGCGCTGACCTTTTCGCGGCAATAAAATTGCTCTCCGCTTTGGAGAGCTGCAATCTCGCATTATGATCCGATCCCTCAATGAATAAATCACTCAAAGCCGTGAATTTACACGAACAGTCGACGATGAAATCGTCGAGCGAAGCGTAGCCGTAGTTTGGTTGATCTTCGGATCGCTCGGATAAAAGTAGAAGAAGTCAAAGAAAAATTGTCGTCCCGTTTTCTCTCGCGTCTCGCGAGATCGATCTTTGGCCGATTTAATTATATCTTCGACGGAAGTAATTACCCGAGCGGCTTCAGATTCCTCGGCATTCCTCGAGGCTGCCATCGGTTACGGATTTTCTTCGCAGCGTAAACTTTTAATTAGTTTCGATAGCCGCTGTATCTCGCGACGCGGAAAGAAAAACTTCCTCCTCTCTAGCTATGTCCAGGGATTCGAGGTAATTAAAGCTCGCGGTTAACTCGCACGAATTCTTATTCATCCGGTTTGGTTTATCACCGTTGAAAAGAGACACGAATCGTTTCGCATTTGAATATAAATCTTGTCGAAGTTCCTCCAATCGGGATCCACACAGCGATCAAACTTTAATCCCATTTTATTGCCCCGTGCACATCCGTATCCTTCTACCCCGTAGTAGTATCTCCTCCTGTCGCTGTGGAACCGGAATCCTGCAGTTGTAACTACGAAGAACGGCCCCCCGGGAAATGAATATTCTTCGAGGAACACGATTTCAAGAAAACGGCGGCGAATAACCGTAAAATGATGATCTCCGGCTTTCAGACTCCGATCCGCACCTGGATAATAGAGTTCATCCTGTACATTCGTCCTTCTCGTCGAAGCACGAACGGTTGGCCATCGAGTGCTCGCGACCGGAAGTCCAGACGAATTGTATTCCAGGTCAAAAGTGGCGCTGCGAGAGGGACGGCCACCGATGGAGGAGGCACAAGTGCAAATACGCCGCGCCTCCGCCGCGGGTATCGAAGAAATGCGCCTGTTTCACCCCGAACGGAGTCGTTTATACCAGATTGGAGTCCAACGATTATCTCGATGGACACCGATACGGCTTTGGCAGGGACAGAATACCACGGACATATACGGACATATACACGGACATGGCCAGATATTTTGCTAGACGAGGTACTCCGCGAGTTTTACTCGATTTATCAATCAGTAGGCTGTGCGATATATTTTTTATGCAATATCATATATTTGATACTTTTGATACTCAGAGATCGAAACATTATTAAATAGCAAAAAAAGAAAAGAAAAAAGAGAAAAAAATAAATAAGTACCACATGTCTATTACGATGAACATATAATATATATGTAAACTACGATCAATTTTTAAATCATTATTCAATATTTCTCAATTTTCATAGATCCATAAAACAGAGTAGTTGAAGTTAATTCTAGTTATTCTCTTTTCATTTGCAAAATACACAAAAAGTCGGCAATGATTCAATGAATCTTCGTGGCTTATCGTCAGGAATAATTTCCACTTGTTGAAAGATTAATAGAAGGATGGTTCGTAGAGACTAATAATTTCTAGCCAGAGAGAGGAGATGATCATTCAGGATTTTTCGTCTCAGGCAAACGAGACGTGTCAGACGCCGCCGACGAAGATGCTAGCCAAGATACCGACGAATACGATGACGACTATAATGACGGTGACCGGGACCGGCGAGCCATCGACGAGGAGGATGACGAGGATTTCTTCCAGGAATTAAACAGCCTCGCGGAGGACGTCAAGAGGGAATACGTAAACTTGATCTTTAAGTACGTAAGTCTTAGAAAGTCGTTGATGATTCGTTGGATAAGACGCGAAAGCGTTTCACGGTGATGGATGCCCTTTCAGGAATAGATTTGATAACCGGACGTTGGAAGATGAGTCTCTCGTGTTCGATAATTTAAATGAATCCGAATACTCGATCGAAGACTTTGATCCTAGCTTGGATAAAGTGGTGAAAGGCCGACTGAACGTCGAGGACGTGGTGAAAAGGCATAGAAGGATACGGAGAAACGTTGCGAAGAAAGATCCTGTTGAACATGTGACCAAGATCATGGAGAGTATCGAAGAAGAATTAGATGATTTGAAGGTACTCTCTTCTGACGTAACAATTTTTTATCAGAATCTGATATGACTTCTTGCCTTTACATTTAGGCGACCCAAGCACGCCAGTCCGAATCGAAAAGAACGTTTCCACCGAAATGCTCGGTTCTTCCGCAAGGGGGAGTAAACTGTTCAGAAACCGTATACCAAGATCCGAACGAGTGGCGAATTTCGAGGCGGGAAATTGAACAACAGATCAAAGAAATGAGGACGCAGTTGGAAACCTTGAAAGTAAAAAGATGAAAGTTTCATTTGATAGAAAAGATAACGTGATATTCGTCGTTTCAGGACATTCGTCGACATTTGATGACCAAGCGACCCCAAGTTATACGAGACCAAGAAGATGGAGGAGCAAAGAACACAGAGGAAATACATAAATCGCATCATCACCCTTCGAAGAACCACGCGAATCGTCATCACAAGAAGCATGATCACGCAACTACGCTTAATCCTGTTGTAACGACTATTCTTTCCACCGTGAAGCACAATCAAGTGACGGAAGACAGAACTACGTCTACAGATACTATGGAAAAATTTGGATTTAACGTTACAGCAGCAGAAACTACCAATACCGATACGATTAGCACGACCGAGCCAACTTCGACCACGTTATCGACGACTTTCAAACCAAAGAAGACGCCTCGTCGTCAAAAGATAAAGGAATCTATTAACAACAGGACGGAAGTTGAGGATGATAAATCCCAAAGACGCAGAAAGATTCACCATCATCGAAGGAACAATACGTTGTTCACGAACAGCGTACATGATGAGATTCCAATTGTGAATGTTAGCGAAACAATCGAGACGACTGTGACTACGCAGAGCACGACACCGAGGCACCATTATCGTCAAACCAAGTACACGACTGTTCCTACCACGACGACGAAAGAAACTACGATTCAAAGGGAGACTTCTGGCAGTGCAGGAATCACGAATGACTTTACCAAAGAAATCACGATAGGAACAGACGCACAAACCGTACTATCGACAGGGTCTGAGACAGGGTTCACTTTTGATGAATCGACAGAGCAACAAAGAACGACTTCGGTGTTCTCCAGGACGAATACCGAAACTCGTTCTAGAACTACATTCCCGTCCACGACTGTAGCTACAACGCCCATGACCACGTTAGTTACAACATCTTCGACTAGAAGGTTTCCAAAGATACAGAAAAATCGAACGACTAATCTAGGACCTTCCAGGATCGACGTTACCATCTTGGAGTCCCCCGATAGGAGGAACAAGCAAGGTTAGCGACTTGAGAAAGTATTTGCATACTTGCTGTAAGGCATTTTTATGAATATTCTATTTTGTTCCTTGAAATTTTATTACCGATTCAACAAACTTTTAGATTCATTTTAAATTATGTTAATATAACCATAATTATGAAATCTCAAAGTAACAAGAAGTGACTGTATGAACGTTTCATTGGATTCCGCTTTAACTTGAATTTAATCGAATCTATTCCTTTTATAACAGACATCATAGACATAGCAAATAACAATCGTCGACTACCACCGATGCTGAACAATCCTTTGGAATCTCGTCACAAATGCTACTGCGAGCCTGATTCTTACTCGAAGAAGGATGAAAAGGAGATTGCTCGGGAGGAAAGGAGAAGGTTAAAGGAAGAACGTTTGAAAAAGAAGGAGAGGAAGCTGAGAAAGAAGGCTAAACTCGAGAAGGAGTGTTTAACAGAGAAAATGAATTGTTTCGAACACGACAACGACCATTGGCGCACAGCTCCTTTATGGAACGCGGGTCCATTCTGTTTTTGCATGAATGCTAATAATAATACGTATTCGTGCATTCGTACCATTAACGCGACACACAATTTCCTTTACTGCGAATTTACTACCGGTTTGGTTACTTTTTATAACCTAAGGATCGGTAAGTAAGTCTAGTAAATCGAGTCTCCTAAAGGAAATGGGTTTCAGTTATTGGACTTTTATTTCTTTTATGATTAGATCCGTTCGAACAGTGGAACAGGATTTCGTCTTTAACGTCCTCAGAACGTTCCTATCTTCACGATCAGTTGGAACATTTGAAGGGTTGCAAAGGAACGAGAGATTGTACGGTTGGAAGCGCGAGAGAAGCGTTGCCGCAACCGCAGCAGCATCAGAGGTTCATTTCAAAGAGAAAATATGCGAATTCATTCGGTATGTTGCACTGATAATATGTAACAAGAGTGAGGAATTTGCCCACATTAACTCTTTGATGTATATTTCCGTAGAAGATATGTTCATACCATCGACTTTACAAATTATTCGAGAAAGCGAACTCAGTAGTCCGCCGAATAAGAGACGAAAAAAATTGCAAAAGTAAGTAATCTTTACTTTTAACGGAAAGCTCGACTCGTCTGTTAAGCGTGTGCTGAACTATTGCTTTTTAATTAAGCAGCGTTTGGAATAGACGAAGCAGAAGTTGGCAAAGTAGCTGGAGGCATCATCAAGACACTGTGAATTATCGCCGACACAGACACCAGTACTGATGGTTCGTTTGTTTCTCTCTGAACAAATCGTCGAAGGATGCATGACAGCATTGCCTTAGATGTATATTAATTTCGCGATGCATTTAATAACGTAATTTATTTAGTGATATTTAATTGAGACGTGATATTTAAGAATGTTCGAATTTTATTAATTAGACTCGCGCTACTCGACACGAGTATACCGTGTGTATTTTTAACGTTATACCTTCCACGGCAAAATTATTGCGACTGATCGCACGCGTATAAGCGTGCACCATATAATCTCGCGGTTCGCGCGCGTTAAACAATCGGGAACGATCTAAACGATCCTTTTTTTACTTAATAGCCGATATTTTTTATAATAATTTATTTACTATTACTCATCTCTTAATTATCTCGAATGAAACGATACTTGCCTAACGAGATTTAGAGCGATTCTAAAATCTTTGATTATCCGAAAATAGTGACACGATACTTCTTTGCGAAGTGAATAACCGACATCAGTAACTTTACAGACAATAGATTGTCTATGTAAAAAAAAAGAAGAAAAAAAAAAGAGAATGATCTGAGAGTTCGTTTATCGCGTTAGAGAGCTATTTCAAACTTGAATTCTACGTGACTGCGAACTGAAACGCACAACGAAAAGAACAAAACGCAATGTAAAAGTCGTCCTGCCAAAAGTCTTATGCCTTTCCTTACGAAAATTTATATACACCGGTACCATTGTGAAATGTTCGTTCTATTAAAACTGCCATTCATTTAATTTTTTCCTATTGCCTTCAAACAATGACATTGCAGAACAAATTGGCTCTGCTACACAATGTCTTACAATCATTTTAACCAATCGTTATTAGGATGTTCAAGTAGAGACAGGAAAGAGAGGTAATTCAAGTCACGATATTAAGACTGTATGAGTTTCAATGAAATTAAAAAAAGATACAACTTTTGGCATCATTTATTCTATACAATTTCTTGTCTTTCTAGAAACAATATGGGAATTTTGTGATTACTACACCCAACAATCTCTGTTATAAAAAAAAAAAAAAAAATTGAATGCTGATGGATGCATATGCTATAAGTATACAAGTAAAAAGTGAAATTTATTTAATAATTCACTTATACATTTGCTTCAACAGTTACAAAACACTTTTTAGACAATATTTGCTCTTTTATAATATGAAATAGTTGAAATATTATATAATAATGTGTCACTATACAACAGCTAGACAATTGTCTCCATTAGCATTTTATTTTTTTTTTTTACAATTGTATGTCTGTGTTATGTACTAGATTCTCAGTTAGTGTCCTGAGAATATCTTCAAGATTTTGAAGTTAAAGCAATGTATTTAAATCATGTGAAATAAATAAATAAATACTGTCCAAATTCCAATTGGTATACCATTTACTTAAAAAGGTCAATGAATTTTTAAATAATAAAAAAGGATTAAACAATAAAAATAAATTATATTGGAAAGATATTTTAAACATATTTCTTTTATATTTCTTTACTTCTTTTTTAAAATAAGAAAAATATGAAGAATTTAAAAATCAATAGTAATATCAAAATCTTCATTATCATCAAATATGTTTTTTGTACTTTTAATTTCATTGACATTTTTGCTATGGAAATCATTGCTTTTATTATCGCTATCTGATACATTATCTATTTCCTCTGATACAAAATTATCATGTTCTTGCTCATTGTGATAAATTAAATCTTGTTTAAAATCATTCTCATAAGAAACATCGTTATCTATATTTGTGTGTTCATTTTGTGGCCACTTACATATTGTATCGTTATCACAATATTCTGAATATTCTAGATGATCAGTTTCTATTTGACTGTTATCTTTACTACTTGAAGCTTTGAAAATATTAGATTCTATCTCCTCTGATTTATCTAAATACTTTGTCCATTTATTTTCAACGTTTACATTAGACTTTGGTTGCTCAGTATAGTTATCATTATCATTGGAATAGTTATCATGATTACTGTTCCTATTAAAGGACACATTTTCCTGATTCTCATGTTCTTTCATAAGATTTAACTTTTGAACAACAATTCGGCAATCTTTACCTGAGCCTTTAAAATAAGCCTAAAAATTGCCATTATCTACTACCATTTTCTATATTCGTAACATCTATCATTTTGAGATATGTTTTGAAATATTGAAACTTAACATCTTTTTATTATAAAATTAACTGACCTGTTTGAATGTCTGCTTGAAATTACATATTTTGCATTGCCATTTCTTTGCTTTCTTGACTATGTGAACCTATAATTTATACAAATCAGATATGTTATAGCAATTGATAATGAACTACAATGCATATGACAATTACTTGATATGTTTTACATGAATAACAGCGTAAAATATTCATTTCCTGCGACATGATGCTAATTGGCAACACTTTCTAATGCTAAAACTATCACAATTTAAAAAAATAATACTTTTAGATTATTTTAAACTTCGAATCACTTTTACGCTTAACACAGCAGTCTGGCCAATATGGCGGCATCGAATTTTGGCGGGAAACTACGATGGAACTGTAAGTTGCTTAATTACCGGTACTTCCGGTTAGATTACTTCCGGTAAATCGAGTGTATTTGATTTTGATCGGCGCATCTAAATAGAAATTTTATTTAAATATAAGCATTAAAGAAAGAAATGGAAAAGTTCAAGACTACGTCTAGATACTGGTAAGAATTCTCTTAAAATATTTCTAGCAAGTTAAAGTTATTTCTTATGATAGCGGGTTGCAAATAATCACGTCAAAGAAATCAGTACACATCAACAGTTATATTTTATTACATTTTATTTACGCACACTTTTTAAAAATATCCATCAAAAATAATTTAACGAATAATAAAATATACTCAAAGTCTATTTACAATTAATTTCATTAATAATAAAATATTCATTCAAAGTCTATTTTACAATTGGGTAAAGCCTTGACAAGTTCATCATGAGCAACACTATCCGTAATGGCTGGTAATCCTTTGATTTTTAACTGTTTTAAATTTCTAAAACATTAAAATATTATTATTCATTCTTATTAAATATGTTCTATTAAATATATTTTGTTCATATTTGTATGTATAACATACTTCAATACTTTCAAGTGACGTAGACCATTCTCATCAATACTTTTACACTTTATAATTTCTAAATTAGTTAATGAATCTTGAACAAGCGATAAATATGGCATAGCTCTATTATTTATATATCTACAGCTTTCCAATTTTATATCTTTTATATGCTTGCATCCTTCTAGGATAATAATTCAATAAATAATTGTGTCTATGCATATACATATCTAATCTATTTTATATGATTAGATTAGTGATAACGCTAACCGAGATATGGAAATCCTAAATCACATATTCCAGCATCATTTGCTTCAATAGCTTCAATATAATAGTTTCCACTAGTTGGTAATGCATTATAATCAGTCAATGGTTCAGTAAAATTTTTCCATCTAACATAAGCTCCATTTTTTAAAAGCCATTCTGCGCAAGCACGATCTGGACCAATTTCCTTTATACGTTCTGCATCAATTCTTTGTTGAGAAACAAAAAGGAGTTTCTTATCCATTTTGTATAATCAAATAGCAATATTTATTTCATTACCTATTGAATACAACGACAAGCCAGTAAAAGAAAGGCCTGGCTTGATGTTTTATATTTTGGATTAAAGGTGTTAATCTGCTTAATGTCTGAAATAAGAAATATATGACAATATTCTTACTAAATACAAAATAAAGTAGTTTCTTCGTATTCTTACATAGACTGTCATTGCTGTTTTATTCCTGACAATAATATTGTTGAATAATTATAATATTACTAAAGCGTTGGCGTTACAAAAATGTAGATTAGGTTAGCACAATGTGAAAGTTAAACTATCCAATTAACTCATAATAGATCAAAGCAGTATTGCATTTAATTATATGGTCACTTATCTGTGGCACTGTTTGTAATCATTAAATTGACTCGAACGTCGTATGAATAATGATAAGATAGTCAAGTCAGTTATCTTCCAAAAGCATGGAAAAAGCATTGAATGTTCAGCAGCATATCTACTCTGTCTTTAGTCAATGACTGTGCGTTAAAGTTTACAATAAAAATTAACAACTAGCGTATGATACAAATATTTGAACAATAAAATCAAAATACTCTCGTATAAAGAACAAGAAAATTTTCTTAATAAATAAAAAAAATTTTTTCAAAATACGAGTAACGTGTAATAATTATTATTTTTTATTTAGCTATTAAATGAAAAAATTTTCAAATCAAATTAATCTCGGTTAATAAAGTAATTCATATGAATTATTATACAGTAAACATTATTTGATACAGTGACAGACCATATTTTAATGGCTCACACGATTCTACATTATCCATAGTCTCTGGATTTCATAATTGTATGTGCCGCCGGTTTGAAGAGTCAAAACAAACCTGTGTGATTACGCACGACATTGATTACGTCTGGCATAGAAATTGTTAAATAACAACAACATGAGTCGAAGAAAAAGAGCGAAGGTTTGTCGTCCATTTTTATTATATTTGATATTTTCTATTGTTAAATATGTATAAAAGGTATATGACGATATTTAATATACCAGTTGTTTCATATTTTTAGTGTAACATGAATCAAATGTTTGTTTTTCCATATTTCCTCATGTAATAACAAGAAACAACATAAATTCTCATGTGAAAAAGAATTCGGACGCATTTGTATTGAATGATACTGTTTTCTAAGTAACCAATATAGGTTAGGTTTTGTTTTGATTGATTATTTGTTATTTACCTTGCTTGGTTAATAATTGTAAATTTATTCTTGTGCAAATACAACCGAGTATATTATATGTAAATTAAAATAAATATATTTAATGCAACTTTTAATTCATAAACGATTGTAGGAACTTTTAACCTATATTTAAATTAATACAGATTTCTGTGTACTCGATAAGATTTCGATTACGTATTTATTTACCATTGAATATCCTTCTTTTCATTTGTAATTTTCGCATCATATTTGTGTGTAGGTGGAGTATAGAGAAATGGAAGAGAAATATAATCAGTTAGAAGATGAAAATGCTTCAGATACATCGGAAAAGTCTAAACCTGGTCTTGTTACTCCAGAAAAAAAAGTCGTACCTGAAGTAAAAAAAGAAACTGATACAAGTATACCGCAGTCTGTCCCCACATCTTCTGCTCCAAAAATTGAAGTAAAAGAAGAAGATGATCAAGACAGTGATCATGAAGATCCTCATGGTAAATAGTAAATATATATTTTAAAGTAAAATAAGTATTATCTTCGATGGATTAAACTTTAATTTACATATTTAATTATAGTAAAGGAATTACTTAATGGATTGGAAGGGGCAGCATTTCAAAGTCGTCTTCCATTTGATAAGTTAACTTCAACTGAAGCCGCTTGTTTCCCAGATGTTTCTGGTGGTCCGCCACAGACTCAAAAAGTTTTCCTCCACATTAGAAACAGACTTGTACATATCTGAACTCGATAAGAAAGTGAACGTATGTTCTCTGTGCTTATGAAATGTTTTTATTTCAGTTGCAACTATGGCTCGAAAATCCAAAGCAACAATTGATAATCGAAAATGCTTTACCAGCTATAGAACCTCCTTATAATAGCGATACCGTATTGACACGTCGAATTCACGCATTTTTAGAAAGACACGGTTTTATTAATTTTGGTGTATTTAAGCGACTCAAGGTAGTGTGTACTTATTGTTCGATTATTTTTATATGAATTATATTTAGAATATATTGATTATTGCCTTTTTATTTTAGCCATTACCTACGAAGAAATCAGGCAAAGTAATTGTAATTGGAGCAGGTATTGCCGGTTTAGCTGCTGCTCAACAAATGCAACAATTTGGTTTGGAAGTAATTGTACTCGAAGCACGGGTAATTATTTAAAATTTTATTTTATACTTAAAGAAATATATTTGTATATATCTATATATGTGTCTGATTTTATAGGATCGTGTTGGTGGTCGAATTGCAACATTTCGTAAATCTTCGTATATCGCTGATCTCGGCGCTATGGTAGTTACAGGATTAGGTGGAAATCCAGTGACAACTCTTAGCAAACAGATTAATATGGAACTCCATAAAATACGACAAAAGTGTCCTTTGTATGAAAGCGATGGTCAAACGGTTAATATAAATATTAATTTGATTATTGTAACAATTAAATGTTCATTGAATCATTTGTAAAGTTTTAATAATTTTTCCATCAATAGGTCCCGAAAGATAAAGACGAAATGGTAGAAAGAGAGTTTAACCGTTTATTGGAAGCAACGTCATATCTTTCACATCAATTAGATTTTAATTATGTGGGTAGCGCTGGATCAGGACAAGGTACTAATACGCGACCGGTTTCATTAGGTCAGGCATTGGAATGGGTGATACGTCTGCAAGAACAAGGTGTCAAACAGCGTCAAGTAGCTCATTTGCGTTCCGTACTATCGCTTCAAGGTCGGCTTATCACCAATCAACATAGGGTATGTATCTTCAACATCGAATTTTAAAAATACTGATCTGTAGAGATCTGCTCTGACATTGTAGATGATTTCCATCATGGATCGTTTAGTTGAACTAAACAAACAATATAAAGAGATGACTGAGAGTAAATTACAAACACGTGATATAACACAAGAATTTGTGTTACGTTCAAAATTACGGGATCTTCACAATGCATGCAAGGTATGGTTTTAAATAATATTATTTATATATAAACTTATAAACAGACATTACACGTATTTCATTTTTGTCATATTAGGAATGGGATCAACTTTCTGAGCAACAGAAAGAAATCGAGGCAAAGTTACAAGAATTAGAAGCCTCCCCTCCTAGGTAAGTTCCTTTTGATATTTTTCATACATGTGGCATATTAAATTCTTCTTGGTATGTGAAGTATGTCTATTTGTTGTTCACAGTGATGTATATCTTTCTTCGAAGGATCGTCAAATATTGGATTGGCATTTTGCGAATTTAGAGTTCGCCAACGCGACGTCGCTGTCAAATCTGAGCCTAAAACATTGGGACCAGGACGACGACTTTGAATTCACCGGCAGTCATCTAACAGGTGAGTCTTCTCAACAACGTTACGTAAAGTAGCCGCATTTCTCGATTAAATCAGCTGTTGCTTACTTTCACTGCGCGTGAACGACTAGAATTTAGTTAAGTGGCTAGTTGAATTGAGCGTAATTATTACAGTTGTACATTGCAATATGTTAAATACGCGAAAACATTCTAATTTCATGGAGCGTGCGTGATTCGTCGAGTATCTCTGCGCGGCGTAACGCGTGTACGGTATTATATCGACGTTCTCGAGATATTGCTTAACCAACCAGTAGATGGTATAGATAACGGGTGAATTATTCGCGGGTTGCGTCTCCTTTGCAGACGTCGGATAGTCTCTCGCACCCGGTGTCCGTGCGGTTGACTTTATCAACCTTATTGAAAGTCGATAGCATGAGATTCCGTGTAGATAGTGCGCTGTATCCCTTAACCGATCGGTTACCGGAGTTCTCATTATGTGAAATTATACTATGATCATAGCGTGTTCGCTGCGCTCGAGTCTGCTAATGCGTTAACAAAAACGAAAGCAGCGAGAAATATGACTATAGATATAATCGAACGGTTTCGTATTTTACACAGTTCGAGGGTTCTCTCTGTTTCTGGCTTCGAGCAAATCCGAGTTAATGGTTTACCTTGCTTATCTTCTTAATTGTTATCTCAACTATTTACATCGAACAATCGAACCTTTTCGAAAAATAATTGACATTACGATGCCATTCGAAATACTTTGCAATTAAAACTGCAAGTTTCTGCGAATGACTTCGCGACGCGTAGATACGCACTCGTATCTTGTATCGGACCCATGATAATCGAAAATCTTAACGACGTTACTTGTAATACCTGCGACACGATTCATACCCGGAAGCGTTTAAGCGTTTCTCAACCGGGAGAGTTCGAGGTGTGAATGCGTGGAACTCACACGAAATATCGTCTCTAGTAAATGAACGGTAAACGCATCTTTAATAGATATCCAAGGTGGATGTTACTGCGTATCAACGGACCGTAACCCAACGGAATAACGTGGTCGCGTGTGCCGCTACCGCAAAGCAGACTCGACTGACAGTAAACGAACGAACCGGTCGAGCCAGGCTCGAATTCCAATATTGCTTGGTTGTCGTTCGACCGACCACGCAGTCGAGTGCATCGCGCGCGGGAGCGAACTCGAGCGAGTGAACCGCGCTGCTTGAACTCAAGCTGAAATAAGAGACACGCAAGGAGGATGCTGTGCCTCCGTTTTTGCCAGGGCCACGGTACGCGGCAATGGTGGTCAATTCGAAATTAAAACGATGCCCACAGTCCATGACTGACGTGCATCGATGATCATGACGGTTTGCCCGCAGGTTCTTTCCAGCGATTAATGAGATGTAAACAATTTAACGCTAAATTAAGCAGAACAATAAGCTGTCCGGTGAATCCCTGGCCGAAAGTTGGGCAAATCCTCGACGTAATCGGTTCTCCTTCGAGCCTCGAACTGTTCGTGGTCCTTCGATTCACGGACCATCGATTCCTTCTTCGTTCCTTCTCGAACGAATCCCAACTGCTGGGTTAATAGCCACTGACCAAAAAACGTTTAGGCCAAAATATTCCTCGAGATACTTCTTTCGCTTTGAATGTCGCCGACCACAGTTTCGTTACTATTTCCTCCGGTAACTTTCAATCGGTGTCACGTCTCGTTAAGCTTGTCGATTTATGCAAATTCGGCGCTGTCCTTCGCTAGGAACGAACACCAAGACACCACGAATTCGCGAGTCTGCGTGTTTTTTACGAGAACACGACCCGTATACAATCCTCCCGGCACAATGTTTTCTTTTTTCTTTTTTTCTTTCGATGCGACTCTGTCGTGGAAACGATTTGGTAGTAAATTCGGGACTGTACAGTCGTCACGGTGATCATCAGCGTCACGACGATTCCTTGTTCCTCTCCGATCGCTCGTATAATAAAGAGTTATCGAGTTTTGTTTGCGAGCATGGAGCGATCTGGCCGTCAGTGTTCTCGGTCGTTTTGCTTGTCAGTCTTTCTCGATTTGTAGGACGAAAACGTAGGCAGCTTCGATATTATGCGTGTACACCGCAGCGTGTACAAGATATGAGAGGTGGATATGGGATCGAGAAGGAGCCGGGGATGGGCCATTTACGACATATCGAAGTCTTCTACACCGTCGCATTCCACGCCATCCGCGTGTCGCTACCAAAATTATATTCTCGTAAAATACACTTCACGTTCACCGCGCCGATCTCTTGCTTCTCCAAACGCGCGCCAAGCTTATGATAGGGTTGCAGGAACGACGCGATTCCATTCATGAGACCCCACGAAGCCTTCGTCGTTGTTTTTTCGAAGAAATTTCCTCGCTCTTCGCGTCTCTTTCGCGCTTTCCTTCCGGACGATGTTTGCACGCGGCTACGTCAACACGAAACCGCACGCCGCGTCGATATTAATCGAGAAAGTTCGATTGAGTCGTCACCGGCGGTGATTTTTAAAGCGTATTGACCGGTCGAAACCCTCTGTCGGAAGATAAATCGTCGATCGACAGGATACCGGAGAGTGGAAACACAATTCCGCAGGCGAAAAGTTTTCGAGCACGTTTCCTTGGCTCGACGGTCCTCAACGTCGACCAGTCTACGATATTTACGAGGCGAGCGAAGAATCCGGAGTATCTAGTCTCGAGTTATTCCCTCGGTCTTTGAAGATCGAAATCGGGGAGAGATCGAGTTAAGGATCGGCGTTCGTTACGACGACCGGCGACCAGGCTCGTCGAGCGCGTTTCGTATTTCCCATAATAACGTTCCGGTGGGTTCTTTTGGTGAAATTTACGAACCAAGGGGAATACCAAAGGGAATATAGGAGTGAATCGGAATGGCGCGCGGCTTAATGAGCTTTCGCTTTCGATCTCCGATCGATTTCGTGGAGTGAGTGGAAGATGGTTACCGAACCGTTGGAAATAAACCGGGACGGACACACCGAGGCAGGCGATCCCGGAGGCTCGTTTGCCGAAACAAGCCCGTCGCCGAAAAAATAAGTGTAAAATAGAATGGTGTCGAGACTTGGCGTCGCGCCCAGTGTTCTCGAAGCCAAGAGATTCGGAGCTACGAAGAGGGTCCGGGTAAACAGGAGAGACGCGGCCCGTGGTGTTTCCCCGACAAGACGAAAACGTAGGCAGCTTAACATTAGTTGAGCCGAGAGTTGGATGGCAGAGGGGGCCCCGAGTGGTAATTTACGAGGTATCGAAGACCTTGTACACTCCTACCCGCCAACGGGCCGGCCTCGCCCCGCGGAATCCAGTCTTGGCCTTAACGCACCGATACCTTTCCCATGACCACTTTCGGCCTATCTGTGCACACCGCGGTCCGTACACACGTACGTACATACACACAGGCAACCAACGGCCGCCTCACCGGGGCTCTTGATGTTTCTGCCTTTACCATTTACAGTGCTCCTCGTGTCGGCGACGCGGTAGGGTACCTTGTCGATATAGTCTATCTGGGCCTGTGCTCGGGCTCGCTTCGCTCCGTGATCCGCGTGATTTCTCTTCTTAACGTCACCTATCGCCCGTGAAGTGTCAACGAGGCGATTTCTTAGCGCCGGCTTCTTCCTTTCCCCCCCCCCCACGAACAAATGATTCGTCGACACGCGTCCTGGATTAAGTCCTCCCGTCTCGAGGAACGTCGATATCCTCTGCCCTCTACCTCCGCGCTATGCTCCTTCCTCGAATGTTTCCCTACTTGTTCTTTTGTCTTTGGGTTCGCTTTCTTTTTCTTTTTTTTTCTTTTTTGATTTCACTCTTGTTCTCCTACTATTCCCGGTTAATTTCCATACTCCAAGTTCGATTCGATCGAACTACTAACCTCTGCGATTGGAAGTCGTGCACGGTAGTAGTAGTAGTAATAGTAGTAGTAGTCCCACAGGATGATAAGTCGACTGAACCGGAGCACTCCCATGTTAGCATGAAATGTGTCGGCCGGTGGCCGAAGCGTAATTAGGTCGTCTGCGAAGCATTAGATCATGATATACCTAAACGAGAGAGATAAACCTCTCGGTCCCCAGAGGTTCCGAAGATCGACTGATAGTAACCATATGCATCGCTCTCCGAAATCGTTGATTAATAACGTCGTCTGGAAAATGGCTCTCCCCCGTCTGTAATTGAATCGTTCCGCGCGGACACTTTGGTAACGAGAAAGTCGTGTACCCTCGACCTCGATACCTTCGCTTCGATTACCTCTGATCCGCTTTATTTATCGTAGCGACTTTATTCGTCGTGGAAAACGCTCGGCTCGAACGGTGGATCCCACCTTTTCGAAAGTGGTGGAAGGTGTTAAGTGACGCACGGCGATTAAGTATCTCGGTTTTCGCGGCACGTGGGCTAATCGACTTCCGAGCCGAGTGTCAACGGGGCTGATTTACGCGTGGAAGCCGGTGGATACATTCGCCGCGATAACGAAGCTATGCGCGAGTACGCGGTCGCGCGAAATGACACGTTTAAATTTCCTACGTAGTCGAGAGTGGATTCCCTTGACGCGGTGCGTTAAGTCGCCGATAGATGTACTTCGACCCTGTAACTTGGAGGTCATGAAGTTGTCCGGAGCCGAGGAATTATTTCCCCCGTGAGGCTTCGTACAAACCCGCGCGCGTTGCCGATCTGTCGTCGCCCGTTTATACTGACGTACGCATGTTAGCGAGCACGAACGAGGCTAGAGACTGTCGCGTGTATTCGGATGGAACGTCTCACGCGACAAGCGTGTACCAGATACCACGGTATCGCAGCCGGTCGGTTATTTCTTGCCGAATTTCGTTCTCAATTAGCCGAGACCCGGCTCATCGATCATCCATCCCGCCTGATTACCGTGTAGGCGAGATTATCGCTGGCAGCTGGAGACGCGAACCCTTTCGTAAGACCTTGTTTCTCCGGGAATGTTGATGAATGCAACGGGCCAACTACAGGAAATCTTGTTACGTTCAGCTAAGAAAGGGTGTCGGTTGATGTCGTCGAAGACTGTCAGTCGAAACACG